TGACCGTTCACAGCCTGCCTCAAGGCTAGTTTGTCGGCTTGTACTTCTCCACACAACAAACAACTCGTCGAAACCATCAAAACTTGGGCCGACCAACCTAACTTCCACTTGATTCTGGAGCAGTAGATCGTGAATAATAACTGACTTCATCCGAGGTCGCGCAATTCTATGAAGGGCTGATAGTTGCAGCTTTCAACAATGAGACGAGTAGGCCTCAGAAGGCCTCATCAGCGCCCTCAACGGGACTCGAGCCCGAGGTGCTATTGTGCAGCGTGTGGTTGCGAAATATTAATCACAATTCAAGACTGCCAGAGTGCCTTTCGACCACAAGACAGATGATGTGAATTTAAGGCAAGTCCAGGCGTTTTCCTATGTTACATTCTACGGTGGAATTGCCAATGAAGCAAAGTTGCATTTGCAATAGCAATCGACTACACTACTTATTTTTCGTTTATAAGTAGGCGTTCAAGATTGCACGTAGATGATGAATTTTATTTCGGAAAAATTCAAATGCCAGTCCTTCACCACCTTCAACGAATTAGAGTGAATACAGCTATTGTACTACTAGTATCTAGTAGTAGTATTTATTTTGCCCTATAGGCCATTCTGTCCAGTTAAATGAGTAGTACAAATTCAATCAACCATTCGGTCTAAAGTCGTATAGAATACACACAAACATATAGACACATGCAGACCGACCGGCAATGTGTACTCTTTTCGGAAATGGCTGTGCATTTGTCTCCTTTTAACTCCATAATAGTGGACTTTCCTATTCCGATTGGCGCTGTGCGTCTAATCCCATATTATCCTCTTCCCGTTTATCTCCATCAACGTTGGCCCACCGACCGATTTGCTAATTGCAGTTCGCCCAGGCAACTCGACAACAAAGACACATTTGTCTCGGGTTCGGTGTTTCACATTGTCTGTACTGAGTGCATCGGCCGCCCCACAGACCCGCATACGTTCCTCGTGTCTTGGTTATGCCCCAGATCGGTACAGTGGTGTGATGAAGAGGATCCACACTGGCCGACTGCCCACGCGACCGGTCCTGTGGGCATTTTCACGCCTTGAGTTGTGCGATTTGATTGGTGGACAGGCCTCGTGGGATGAATGCATTTTGGCCAGGTTACACGATATCTTGTAACTTCCCACCAGAATCAACAGATAAGCTCTGCAATCGACTCCGCTTGGTACCGCCATCTTTTGCCACTCTCATCATTCCCGCTCTACGCCTCGGGTTGCAACTTGCCTCCTTGTTGCAGTTGGAATTTCTGTAACCCAGGCTTTTGACGAACATTCTGGTCTGCTGTCTGTGTCGACTTTCTTTGCTCCAGTCGTACTAAACTGCTGTTTTATCGCTATACTACTGACGTACTACTTTCAAGTTGTATGAGCTGTATTCACCCTATTTCATTTAAAATGATAGGGAAGTTGAATTTTCCCACAATAAGTGCAGTATACCTTGCGTTTCCATTGAATTTCACGTAACCTTGCTTCTAAAAAATATTGTTCTTATCTCTGCAGGAATGGACTGCAGTTTCGACCTCGCCGCAACTGGTATCATCCGCCCCCTCAGTGGGACTCGAACCATGACACATTAAGCATTACACCACATTGCTACAAGAACCCTTGGGTCACAGGGCAAATATGAAGTTCAGAGATGGCCAGGTCTTTCCCTGTCGATGAGACAAAGTTGTATTTGA